TCATTAGCAGAGAGGTCTGACTGCACAGAGACCATAGTAAATCAATTGCCTGCAGACATATCAAAACCCTATCAGTGAGTGGCAAGTGACAATTAAGCTGATTGTTACAGAGTAGAGTGGACACAAGCAACACACTTCAGGTGTCACTGTCTCCCGTCACCCCAGATGGGACCATCTAGTTGCAGGAAAAGAAGCTCAGGGCTCCCACTGATTCTGCATTATGGTGAGTTGTATAATTATTTCATTATGTATTACAATGACTACCCATGACTTAGCATGAGAGAGACTCTAATCTCCTTTAAGGGAGGGTCTTTGTTGGGCTCATTTAACTCCTACAGTTCTTAGCGACAGGTTGGAGGTGGAACACAGGGAGAGGGTGAAGGAAAGGGGGAAATGACTTCAGTGTTTACTTAGTGTCTCCTGAGAGCTTGACACTTTGCTAGACACTTGTGTCATCTCATGAAGAATCTAAGGCTTAGAGAGTTTAGTAATTTATCCAAGATCACTCAGCTGACAGGGGGTAAATTCAGGAGTTGAACAGAGTTCTTTCTTCCTCCAGAACTGGTACTGAGCTTATTAGTATATGCAGGAAAATTAATTCTGTCATGGTATTTAGAAATGGCTTAAAGCAAGCATTTCACAGTGGTTCTTAATTATTTCTGGGTCATGGACTCGTGCGAGGATCTCTCCCACAAAATTACATATATGCAAATCCATACAACATTGTGCATATCATTTCTGGAGGATCACAGGGCTCCCAGAGTGCATTCGAGAGCTGGCTAAGGAAACCATGGGAACCAAAGTAAGAACCTATGGATTACAGTATTCCAAGCCACACTTCTCCCATCCCATTCCCCCACTACCTCTCTTCACACAGTCTGAGAGTGATCAAAACCAGAGAAAATTTAAACACATGAAAAGTTTGGTTGGGAAGAGTAAATTCAAAAGTCTAATATAATACTCTACTGTAAATTGTCATGGAAAACTTGATAAGGAGACCTTGGAGAATGTAGCCTTAAACAATCCTTAAATTTCACAGTTATGACCTTCAGACCACATATGATGTAAGACTGAGAGATGAGGTTATCAGAATTCGTCCCCAAGGGAATGAAATAGCTGAAAATCGAACAGAATGGAAAATCCCACGAAGTATCCTATGATTTAAGGGGAGAGAGTTTTATTTCTGTCATTTTTGCCTAAGGAGTTTTTCTTGAAAAAATGTCTTTGTATTTTGGGGGCTACGTAAAGTGTTTAAAATGAAGTTTGTGTGGGTTTTATTTACACCTTGTTTCAAAGAGAATTTAAGACAGTATATAGGCTTAGATAAAATATAACAAAACATTATGAATTACACATAAAAAAAATAATCGTCGAGACGTAAAATAGAGACAGAAAAGGAGCTGACTTTAAAACAGGAATTTGTATAGTGATTAGGCCTTAACTCCTTCGAGGTAATTTTTAAAAATTATGCAGCACTAAGGGTTTCACACATTAAGTGTATGTTTTTCATAATTTACAAAATATCTTCACATATATTATCTCATTTGATCCTAAATTGACTTTGTGAGGCAGTTATTCTCTACATTTTCCAGACAAGGAAACCGAGGCTCAGCGAGGGACTTGAAATTCTAGTCCTTGCTCTTTTCAAAGCCACTGACTGTTATAATTCCTGCGCACCAATAACTAACGCCTCTCAGTTCTGTGCAAGAACCATATACACTTGACTACTGTGGCCCTGACATTTTCATGAGAGAAAGATTACCACCTACTTTACAGGTGCTTTAGATCTGGGGGTGGATAGACATAAAATTAGAGGACTTCAGATTTGGAATAGACCTTTCAGGTAACACTTAACTCCATCGCTTTATCAATGAGTGTGTCAAATCTCTAGGAGGCCGAAAGATTTGCAACAATCATCCAACCAGTTTGTGGTAAGACCAAGATCAAAAGCAGGTTTCCTAAGTTCTCTTTACACTGCATTGCCTCTAAAGCTCTATACATATCCTTTTCTATAATTTTTTACATTCAGTTCTGACCCTTCTCTTCCCAGTTTCCGTGTCCACTGGGTAAAGTGCCGCATGCACCCTGACATGGCAACAAGCCCGTGCGTGACCTGGCACCAGTGACTTCTCCCACAGCTCTCCTCTAACAGTATGGGCATGCTTCTGATCGTAAGGATGCTAGGCTTTCGTGGAACATCCCCATAGAGTTGTCCTGTTCAGGCTATGTGTAAAGGGCATACCGCTGAGAGTAGTAAGAAATTGAGTTTCTCCTGGAAGAAGGGAACTTTCTACATGTCTATCACCAGGAAAGACTTGAGTGAAGGCACTCAGATGGGAGGGACAAAATGGCCTTTGGAACATGACAGGCCTAAGAAGGGATTTCTCCTCCCCCAAACTAAAGATGGGTGAACTAGATTATGCAATTCCAGGTAATTTTTCACATCAAATTTTTGTGTGCTGTCTCTGAAAATCCCCTCCAAACAGTAAAAACAAACAAACAAAAACCTGTGAGTTGACGTTTGGAAAAGGCCATTCAAACCATGTAGCAACGAAGTACTGACAGCCCAGCATGAAGGTTTCGGTAGAATGACAGGTCCTAAAAGGGAGAGGAAAATATTAGGCAACAGGAACCAGAGCCACTAAACCCCAGTCGCTTCTGCCCTAGCAATGGCTCTCCTTCCACTGCCAACATTAGAGGCTGTGGGTTAGCAAATAAGCTTCCTTATGCAACTTTAAATTCCCTGAACAGATCCAGGGCCTTTGCACATTGTTTCTTGAGCCTAAACTTCAGTTCCCTTCCCCCACCTTCTGTCCTTTTGACAAACTCTTCCTTCGTATTTCTGGGTCAGACATCATCTTCTCTAGATAACCTATCCTGACACTTTTAACTCTGTCTTGCATCTCCTCTTCCAAAATCTGTGTGCTCCTTCAGAACAGTGTCTGCCTTTAGTTCCAGGGCCTAGCAGTGCATGAAATATAGTATGTACTTAAAGTGTTAGTTGAATAAACAAAAAAGTTACTTTTTTTCCTTTAAGTGCATTTTTCAATAGGTTATTCATGAACACTGCAAAATTTCAAACTGCCCTTGAAAACTTCAGTGAAAAGTAGATCTTCCCTCCAATCCCATCCCTTCCTTCCCCTGGTCCCAGGTGTGTCCTTTCAGATTGACTACGTACTATGGGTCTTTAAGTATATTCCTGTTATTTTTCTACACAATGGTAAAATTAAAAAGTTATTTATATTTATATAACAATATAGCTTATAAACATACAAATGTAATTTATGTATCACTATATATGATAGTTGTATATATAAATAATATATATAACATAAATGTATATTTATACACTGAGTCCTGTGCCTTGTTTTTGCGTAACGTTAAGTCAGGCTTTTTTTTTTAAGACCGCATACTATTCCACCGCAGGTGCATATCATGGTTTACCGTATATTCCCCAACTTAGGGTTTCGAATTTACAAACACTTCCACTTTCCCTGTCAAAGCCCCGTCCCGCACCACAGATACAGCCTCGCCCTCCAACCCCGCCCCGAGAGGCTCCATCATTTTCGAACACCTTGTCACGAGCCCAGAGCAGGGCCTGCGCCGAAAGCGACCGCCGCCTTCCCACCATGTGTCCCGCGTCCCCACCGCAGGGCGGAAGGACGCGGCTCCGCTCGCGCCGCGGCGACAGAGCCGCAAGGCCCCTCCCCTGCCCCAG